CTAGTAAAGGGCCCCTGACTCCATACTCCTGGAGCACCCACCACAGGGCAGCACGAGGGACACTTTCGAATGCCTTCTCCAAGTCCTCAAAACACATGTGGACTGGTTAGGCAAACTCCCATGAACCCTCAAGCACCCTGCAGAGGGTGTAGAGTTGGTCCACCGTTCCACGGCCAGGACGAAAACCACACTGCTCCTCCTGCACCCGAGGTTCGACAACAGCCGGACTCTCCTCTCCAGCACCCTGGCATAGGCATTTCCGGGGACGCTGAGAAGTGTGATTCCCCGATAGTTGGAACACACCCTCCGGTCCCCCTTGTTATGGAGGGGAACCACCACCCCAGTCTGCCAATCCAGGGGGGACTGTCCCCGACCTCCACACGATGTTGAAGAGACGTGTCAACCACGATAGCCCGACAACATCCAGAGCTCTGAGATACTCAGGACGGATCTCGTCCACCCCCGAAGCCTTGCCACCGTGGAGTTTTTGACTACCTCGGTGACTTCAGCCTGGGTGATGAACGAATCCAGCCCCAAGCACCTCGTCTCTTCTTCCCCCACGGAAGGCGTGTCTGTCGGGTTGAGGAGATCCTCAAAGTATTCCTAAATACAATAATTACCTTTTATTTTTGTAATCTGTCACCTAAAACAATCAGGTGGAATGTGAAAAAACTAAAATTAGTAGTAGAACTAATACATACTATAAATAGGAACTAATGGCAAATATCAAACCCACTAAGAACTTAATAAAAACCAACTAAATTTGTGGAAATAAATAGTAAAAAACTAGACTGAGAAGTGATTGTAACCTTAAGGGGACTATTATTATGGAGGTAAAAATCCAAATCTCTTGGACACCGAGCTGCAGCTAAAGGTGAGATTTCTGGATTTGTCACTACATGACAACTGCATTCGTTGAAAAAAAATTTCATGGTTGCTAGTGATGCATGTGTTCTTCTCCTACCATCACAAACTCAAATGTCTGCAACTTGAACTCAGATCATTTCCTTTGTTCAGATCAGTCTAATACGTTTCAGGTCTTTGTTTCACAACATTTAACACGTGGCCATAAATTCCCTATGAATGATTACTGTCTTTTGGCATTATATAGATTGGTCTGCCCAGATAACAGGTGGATCACACATTCAGAGCTCACACCGGTTGCCTTTCAATCTCACAGAAAACAGGGCGACATCATTGTGATATCAACAATCTTCAGACTGTGTTAAATTGTAAAATCCATGTTCTCCATTATGACGTGCTTTAGGGCTTTAGATCTCAGTTCTTGGCTGGTAAACTATAGTATTTAAATACCGTTGACTCTACCAACTCTGCATCACAGTCTGACTGCAGTGATTCAATTTCATAATAGGTATCAGACAGGATGTTAACATCTGCAGCAGCAGATGTATTTGTCTTGAAAAGGCAGTTTTTTTTTTTTTTTTTTGCTTTGTTGGTCTAAACTTTATTTGATCATCTTCAGACTCGTCTCTCCTGATCTCAGACTTTGAAACCCAGCCGACCAGCGCAGAGGCTGCTACAGAGGATGACTTTGATCCCATTCCCGTCACAGGCCGAAAGAATTCCCAAGGTACGTCATTAAGGTTTCTTTTAGAAAGAAGTAGATGGATCTTTTGATTGAAATTAGAAGGTTTAGATCTAATCATTAAAATGAGAACACAGGAATGTAATTGTTAGAAGAAAAAAGGCTGTAGCTGTAATTGGGTGAATTCTTTCTTCTCACTTCTGTTTCCTGCTTTCCTTGCCTATTGTGACTCCCACTCCTTTGCTTTCTCCTATCTCCCCCTACCTCTGTTTTCCTGTACTCGTGTTGTTTCCCTCCCCTTGTCTGTCCGGCCAGTTTCAGGAGGCCACTCGCGCAGTAACAGTGGTGGCTCTGAATCCAGCCTGCCAAGCTTGGCCCGCTCCCTGATGCTGGTGGACCAGCTCATCGACTTGTAGATGGCCCCCATTTTCCTCCTTCGTAGAAGCTGTAACTCTGGATAATAGTCCGGCATAGCATAACAATCAGCAGTGTTGATATGGATAGCTCCCTGCACCCCCCTGACTTCCCCCTTCATCATAGAAACATCCCTCGCCTGTCAGCGCTTTTTCATTCCTGCTTTCTTTCATCGATAGTCCGCCATCTCTTCACGCTAACATTTCAGCTTTGCTCTCGTCACCTTGCATTATTTATGATCCGTTTTAGAACAAGCAGCCATTCACCGTCCATTTAAAGACGAGTCATGGTAGTTCCTTTGTCAATCAGGATAAAAACTATCAGTTTATTTGAAGAATACTGCATTATGTCTAATAGCAAACAAAAAAGATCATTGTCGTATTGTAAAATAGGCATAGTTCTAAGTGGTCGTAGTTCTCGTGCACAAGTGAATTTGTTGTCGTTTGCCTTCTTAGATTTTCCTCCCTGAGTTTATTTGCACAGAAAATTAAAACATGGAAAAGTTTAGAGCGCACTTATTCAGATGAGGTTTATTTGAAACAACAAAGCCCAAACGTTTCTGAATCTGAAGCCTGATTTCTACGGATGCAAAATGTTGAACTTCTTGGAGCTCTTGTTGGAGGATATTTACAACTTTGAAGCTGCTGTGGTTAAGAGTGTAAATATGTGAATGTCCATCCTAGAAGCGGAGGAGTCATAACACAAAATGTTGAAGTAATCTGAGAAGCAATGAGAACAACAATGCAAATATTAAATATAGCACTCCATAATTATTGGTTACCCTACTGAAGATTGTTTTTTAAAACAAGAAAAAAGCTTAGAAATATTTTTTCTATGTAGAGGGTCAAATGCCTCTTTTCCATTGCTAACTTATCTACTCAGGTCAGGTCAGTTAAATTCAGATTAATTCATTTTCTATTACAAATATGTTGTATCGTGGTGAGGGGGGATCTTTAATAGCAAGATGGCCCTACGGTCTGGCATGATGTGGTCTGTAGCGACACAGTAGCCTGCTCCATTTATGGCTGTGGTGAGACTCAGAGGGAAAGAGAAGAGCCAAAGGAAGGCCGGAGCTCCTAAATGAGGAAACCTAGATATGTAAAGGACAAAGAGAAGCAATGCATTAACAGTGGTATTATGCCACAGTTTCAGTAGTACTAAGCTTTTAGTTGTTTTGCTCTGATAGTAGATAGCTTTGATTGTTTACTGATTTAAAGGTTTACCAGGGTTTTTAGAAAGCATCTCTTCTGTGTTTCAAAGGCCTTTAGTGGGAAAGTTTATTTTTAGGTTATCGTACCTATTGCTATTTGACACATGCCTAGATTTCAGTGAAATCGCTTATTTTCTTGTCTTTTCCAATAAGAAAATTAATAAAATTGTGCCTCTGGACACAATATTTTTACGCACCAGGGAAAAACAACAACCTGTATTGCTAATAAATACTCATTTTATAAATCAAAAATCAAAAATGTGCATTGGTGTGAGCGGATGATTTAATTATTTCTGACCATGGACACTGCTGACTAAGCAACTCAAATGAAAGTTGATCAAAGCATTTTCTGTTTAACATTACGCTGCCCAAATAAAAATAAACAGATGTGAAGACATCTTCAGCAGGAGTGCCGATAATTATGCAGTGCTGTAGTTCCAGCCATTCAGTATAAAAAATATTTGCTTCAACCTTTTCTACCTTGCTTTCTTTTAAAGACTTAAAGTTATTTTCCTAAAGAAAGGATGCATCAGAACTAAATCAGAAATCAGGGGGTTGATAGTGTGCCAATTCCATCGAAATGCATGAAATCTGGATTTAAATGCTTAAGAAAAACTAACAACAATAGAACCTAGCAGAGAAATAGTAGCAATTAAAAATAAGTATAACGCACTCAGTTCATTTTCTTGGCACCTACAGAGATAAGGCATACATTTTTCACACACTGTTGTTTTTGCACATTAAATCCACATTGTGCAATCCCTCCTACATTCCGCCCATTTGTTTACTCCTTATTTATGTAAATAGATATCTTCAGTCTCTTATCCAGATCGTATATATGGAGTCATTGTCATAAAGCTTTACATGTGAAAGACATATTGCTTTATGTATGAATGTGTTGTACATGCCATATATATATATATATATATATATATATATATATATATATATATATATATATATATATATATATATATATCATTGTTTTCCTGTTAATACATGTTAATATGAATAGAGTGTTAGAGAATGAATGTAAGAAATAGATATTAGTCTATATTAAAAATATATATATGATTCTTAACATCATTATTGTTGGATAATGTTAAAGAATATCTGAAAATGTTATTCCTCTGTGCAGACGTGTGATCTTTTTATTTTTCTTCTGGGTTATAAATACTTGTAGACTGTCAGTATGTTGAGATGTATAGATGATATTCCTGGTCTGTTCAGCCTGTGAGATGAGGCTCCAACCCATGTCTTATTCCACTGTTGTGAAAAGAGAAGAGATCCTGTGTTCCACCCGTTTTCATGGACGGGTTGATTGATTTATTTGCATTCCAAGCCGTCTGGTGAAGAAGGGAATTCCGTGCAATTATTTTTCTTTGGTCCCACTTCATTTGAGTTTGGGCTTTTCAAGGTTTCTCCAGTTTATTTTAGTGATCACAGGATTCATATCAAAAAGCATGGCAGTGGTGTTGGATGTTACAATCCCATGCCGTTGGTATTCAGTGTGTAAAGTGTAAAGTGTGTGTGGACCCTGAAGTGTCGGGAGTGTATTTTGTTTGTTTTTTTCCCAATAGTCTTAGTGTGTTATTTGCTGCAGAAATGGCATTGATCAGCTTGTCCTTAAATCTCCTCTGGAAGCACAGACCTTCATCTCTCCTAAATTCTCTCAGGTAGTCGGAGCTGCATCTCATGCAGGACGCCGACTTACTATCCCCTGTCCTCTGGAAATATGCGTTCATTTTAACGGTTTACAGAATCATCTTGTATTTAATGTTCTCGGAGCTCTGAAGGATGTTGCTCTGAAGGTATAGCACTTCTACTCAAGCTAAAGTTTGATTTTTACACGGCATCATAATCATTATCAAAGGTCAGAACTGTATGGATGTTTCTGTAGGATAAAATAAATGCTTCATGCATCTTATGCATGACTACAATAAAAAAAAAACCTACTGTCACTTGCTTATTTTTCTTTGATATTATTTTCAATTAAGAAACGAAAAAAGCACAAGATTTACTTTTGGAATTTCAGAGGAGGAAAAAGATATATCAAAATATCTTTGTTTTACGTTAATAAAGTGCCCAAGGTTAAGGTACGTGCAATATTGTTTGACATATAGCTAGTTTTAAAATTATGAGTGTTTAGATTAGAGAAATTACTTTCGTCCTGAAGTCTACAACCCAGGATTTGTGCCAAAAGGATCAAGGATTAAATGACCGACGCAGATGTTGGGAACATGTATCTGTATACTGCAGTAAGTTTGGGTAAAAAAGGCAACACCTTTGTTTTGACCCAAAAGAAAACCACAGGAAGACATCTTGAAAGCCTCATTATATATATACCAGAGTTGCTGCATGCATGGTTTTAAGGCTTAATGTAACCAAGCAATCCTGTTTCTGATTCTTCTGCCAAACATCAGTCATCTGCAGTTCCTTTCCAAACCTATGCAAGTCCCCAAGCTTTTCCCCTATAAGCATTAGTGTGATGTTGTAATTACTAAACCCAGGTGAGACTAGTACCTGGTGTGAAACGGAAGCCCCAGATTATTATTTTTTTCTGTTATCTCCAAAAAGAAAAATGAAAGCTGTCAGTCATGTGATATTATCAAGTGTTTTTTGAGATGCCTCTTTGTCATTATGGCCCAAACCTGCATCAGAGCTGTGATACTGTGTGATCCTATTTTTTGTGAGATAATTTAAAATTATAAAGCGATGGCTAATAAAGTACAAATGTGAATGTTGACTTTTCGACCTCTGATTCTTACATTGCTCAAAGCACTTATTGACAAACCCAGAACCACAGAGAGTTTGGATTACAGAGCTTGGCTGAGGTACGTCAATTGATTTACATCTTATGTGATCAAGCAACACAAAGTAGTGCACACACTGTACATGGTGTCGTTTTCATCGGCCATAGTCCATAGAGGAATTGAACATGATGTTTATTGACTTAAGCAGGAACATATAAAGGTTACAGTTTTACACTATTATTGTAACTCTTATCATAACTTGCGTGTTTTTTCATCACCTTTACTACAGATATATATGTTAGAGCAAAAAAATCATACAACTGTCTTCATCATCCTTTCTTAACTTCACCCCTTTACTTAAATCAAAAACAAACCTCACAACGTTTAATTCCCACATGCTTTAAAATACCAAACATGGATTTTCAATCCCAAAATTGAAAATCTGATTTCAATCTGTTTGTAAACGTCCTGACTCTACTGGGTGTTTCACTATTGCTTTTATTTTAAATGTAGAACCTTCACACCGCTTGGTGTCACATGGTTAGCTGCAGTGAGGTTCATGCCGTGCTGATCTGTGAGTTTACTGATCTGACATGCAAACAGCTTTGGCTGCTATCAGCTCAGCCTCTCTAAGCAAAATTAAACCAAACAACCTTTTCTCACATTACGTAATTTTCTAATGCACCCAAGTTGCATGTTTAGGTTTGGTTTCTATGGGAAGTGCTGGTACCTTTTCTGCTCACAGAACTGGATCAGATCATGTTAGGTGTAGACTTATTTTAGAACTGTATTACTAAAAAAATAACTGCAAAACACAAAACTAATGGCACAGGTGTCAACACATAGATTTCTGAAAGATAGCTGTTTCACTACAGTTACAGCTAAATGTCTTTTTGGGATAAGTTTCTACCAACTTAACACATTTATTAGCCAAAAAAATCAGATTATATAAGCTTCTGTCTGAGGCGGATATAATTTGATGATAGTTAGTAGTTATTTTTAGTTCTTTTCTATTTTTATAAATTATATTTTATTAAATGTGTTTATTTTATTAATTTATTTTACAGTATTTTGGATCAAGTGACTGGTCAGAAGAGCTGGTGGAGTTCTTGCAGCATAATGTGCCTTAAATCCGACTCCTGCTCCATCTAATCTATGAATCAGGCCCATTTTCACTGATACCTGATCTAGAATTTTCATCAACATTGAAAACAATAGAAATATTATCAGATCGGTACATCTTTAATTCAAATCGATGTGTTAGAGTTCTATTTTCCTTTATATTGCTGGAAAAACTTGTCTGTGCAATATTGCAATATTAAAATAATTGTTACTGTCGTTGCTTCTAAATAATGTTTGGTGGACATGGCTGAAGCTAAAGCAAAAAACTGTTTAAATAGTAACATTTCTGGCTTGGATTGTCCTGTAAATCAATGCAGGTAAGACCTTATATGTGCAATGTTTGTCTGCAGTTAGTTTATAGTGCAAAGCGACTCAGACTAAAATAATAAACTATTCAATCATTTTAATTCTCAGATTTTGACAAATAAAAAAACAAACATGTTGGTAAAGATTATTATTCCCCAGACTTTAAGAAGAAAATAAATGTTACATTGAATTGCTTTTTTGGGACTTTCCTACAACTAATGCTTCTTTTAGTTTATGGTTTTATCTACTTGATCTGCCTTAAAAGTTACTTATATTTGATATAATTTGAACAACACTTTCAATGATTGAATTTCTTGTTATAAATGTCACCCTTCTTCTTTTCATTGCAAACACAGACCTGCAGAGGGAGCTCACCTGGAACAAACATCACACTGCTCGCATTGAGGCTCCTGGGCAGAAGATCCATCAGAGCACCACTCTATGTGCCCCTAACAAAGACAAGTTGCTGTCAGATGAATGTGGTGCTCAGCCCCGCCTTGCACACGCTCCCAGCTCTATCCCTCATTTCATACCTGTTAAAGGAGAATCCCAGAGCCCCTCTTCAAACAGCCAGATGATATCTGATGTCTTTCAGCTGTTCCCGTTTAAAGGACAGAAAGAAGGAAATGGGGCAGCACTCAGTGGCTCCGCCCTTTCTGCTGAAGCATCAGATGTTTTCCTGCTGGCACCGTTTGGAAAGCGACAGGAAACCAACAAAAATGCTCCAGATAACACTCACATATCCAGGCCCGGGGCAAAGCAAGTCAAGAACAGCAACAAGTGTCTCCCCGGTGCCTTTTTACACACAGAGGCCCCTCTGCTGCAGCAGCCCGTGGCGGTGCACCGTGTCATCTCCAGGATTGGTCAGCAGGCCGCTGTGGGCTCAGTGGCAGTGGGGCCACTGCATTCCTGGACCATAGTGGGGAAAACTGTGGATGACCCCTTCACTGCTGCACCTTTTCAACCCAGATACTCACAAGGGAAACCTTAAGTTTTATTTTCTGTTTTAAAAAATGCCATTTCAGATGAAGATGCCAAAATATTGTTTAGCTGCAGTATTACCAGAATCCCAAATGCAGTGTCAGCATTGTTACAATTAAAGCTCCTACCTCACTTATGTAATCTGCTGTCAGTCACCATATGAGCAGTTTAAACGCCTAAACTCATTCAAAAATCCCACAAAATTTATCGA